AAGAGCCCATCTCTGCCCGGACACTTTTCTGAGGAAGCAGGGGGCCTGCTAAGCCTGCTTCTATGACTTCTAACAATCAGAGGTCCTGAGGTTCTGGCAGCCAGCTCCAGGTAACACACAAGGGGTGGGCTGAGAACCTTAGGCCCCTGACATCCACGCCAGCAGCCCTCACACACAACGCACTGTGCCCAGCCTTGAAACCAAGCAAGGACTCTCTGAGGGCCTTGTAGAGGCCAGGGCCATCAGCGCATCTAACACTTTCCTGCGTCCTGGGATTCAAACAACATTGGGAAGATTTTACACATGAAACAGTGCAGGGGAGGAAAGAGCGTGCCAATGTCACACGGCTAAAAGTGGACAGTCTCCAAAGAACCAGGCACTTTGCACAATTCAGAGCCTGCATGGAGTGGCTGGCTGGGTTTCAGGTTCATGGATCTACCCACTTTTTGTGGTTCTCTTATGGTCAAGAGTCAGGGTGGGGGGGTTTTCTGAAGTGGTCAGGCTGTCCCTGTGGTTTTACCAACTGAGCACTGCTCAAAGATATCTGAGGTTAGTGGGGCTGAATCCAGCTAGTTCTTACCAAGTTACAAGTCTGGAAATAAGGAGGTTGCATCCTTCGGTCAAGTGGCGTGTGCTGTGCACTCAAAGTTGCCTTCTAAACAAGATGTGGGGTAGCTTCTTTTCTGCACAGAGTCACCATCTGGGTTAGAGAGTATCCTGGGAGGGTAGATACCAGGCTGGAAGGGTAAATCACTCTCACCTTCTGGGTCAATTCCAATCCTTTGACAATATGGACTGCTGTGTTGAGAAGGAATCGCAAGTCACAGTCAAGTCTGGGAAGGAGTTCTGCACTCAGTGATTTCTGTCCTGGCTGGGGGGTGGGGCAGGAGAGTATTTGCCATTTTGCTATCACTGCGGTAAACTGACACCTTCTGTGTCAACACACAGCCCAAAGGAACTCAAGGCCTGCCTAGCCCTGGCCCAGAGGTGAGGCAAATCTCAGTGTCTCAGTGTTCTATCCTGTTTATCCCTGAGGTATGGGGTATGGGCAGTTTCAAGAGGGTTAGGGATTCCTTTGCATTATAAATCACCGTGAGACATTTTCTTAAAGAGATATAAGCAGAATTAATTCACCCAGGATTGTAAAGCATCCACTTCTTCTTCTGCTCATCTCTGCCTGAATTTCAAGCCCAAATTGAAGTCTCACCCCTTCACCCCATAGATCCATGTTTGCTCTTCTTTCCAAAGTTTGTCCTGCTTCTTTGAGCACAAAATTCTTGGTTTAAAACCACCGAAAACCCATGAGTCCTGTTGCCTGGGCAACATTAGGGGCACACACTTCTCTACATGCTCCTTCCTGCTCTTAATCACCACTTCACATAAAACAAATTTTACTCTTATTGGAATGATTAATACCACACTCCCCTCACCACACATACACATGCATGTGTGTGTGCGCGCACACACACACACACACACACGACTGTTTATTCATAGCTAGCAAAGTATCTTCCTGTTTGCATTTGCATTTGACCCCATCACTCACTAATTAAGAAAACTGAGATTTGCTGAGAGGGCAGAGACCTCTTCTTGGTCACTCGACTGGGTTCCTTTTCTTCAAATCCTGCCTTCTCTCCATTGGCCTATTCTGGAGATCACAGAGTGGACAGACTCAGCCGACAGAGAAGGGGGCAGGGGCCTGAGTCTCATGTAGGCATTCCCTCCTGCCTGTGGTTTTGAGCATAGTATGTGGGGCCAGGGTTGTCACCCAGAAGATTGCAGACGAGGATCAGTGAAGAGAGAGCTAGGATGTGACAGCAGAGTAGGGGCAGTCAGCTTAGCCTTCAGGCTTCTGGGGAACCTGAACAATGCTGGGGTCCTTTTCTGGGCCATGCTGTCTTGTCTATACTATGAAGGCTTGGGCCAAGATGTAAGATATTTCAAGACATGGCTTTTTAATGTGTACCTGAGGGAAGCGAGGAGATACCAAGTTTGGACTTGGCCCAGTCTTGAGCCTGGCAGCCAGGCCCCTGACACCCATCTGTTCACCCTTACCCATCACCCCCAGTGCAGAGGATGTCAGCTAAGGGACTAACTTCAGGTCAGTCAGCTGCTATCTAGGCAAATTGTCAGTTACTCAAATTCATTGATCACCTACTGAGTAGCGAGCCCACATATTGAGCAGGTGTGCTGTGGGCAAGGGGAGGGAGAGACGTATCAAACCAAAGAAGCCATTCAAGCTTCAAAAAGGAACGTAACTGGGCCATTCCTCACTCCATTCCTTCATCCAACCATCGACCTAGCAAGCACTTTTGAGTTGTCTATATCTGTGCACCAGGCTCTGTGTTGGACTCTGGGGCAGTGGGTGGGAGTGGGTGAAAGGGGCAGAGGTGATCAGCATAGTCCTGGGGTGTGACAAGCACCCACCCTCACAGCACCAAATCTGTAAAGGAGGGGAACCCCAGACTGGGTCTCACATTCTCAGTCTATGAACCACAACAGCAGAGTTTGTGTGGCCAACACTTTAGTTCTCCATGCACCTCATCACTACCTATTTATCACCTTCTATCTGGTTACCTGCCTGTCCCCTAAAGCAATCTGAATCTGGGCCTCCCCAGTGGCGCAGCGGTTGAGTGCTGGGTTGCGAAGCTGCCCGCGGCCTCTGCGGCGCCAGTTCCATCCCCGGCTGCTCCCCGGCCACCGGAGGAGGGTCCCACATGGCGCGCAGACCTCTCCTGCTGCCCGCTGCTCCTCTCAGCAGTGTACTTTGGTCCTTCTGCCTGCTCTGCTCCCCGCTCTGGCTCTGGTGAATTCTCTCACCCTCCCGCGCTTCTGACTGTACCCAGTGCATGTATAAACAAACAAACAAATAAATAAATAAATAAAAACATGCCTCTATAAAAAAAAAAAATTAAAAAAAAATTGAAAAAAAAAAATAAAGCAATCTGAATCTATAGCTCACACTAGGGGAAAGTGCCAGCACTGCCACAAAATGGGGCTACTCTCACCCAGAAGAGTAAGGGGAGACGTGACAGAGAGCCCTGGGCTGGGCTTTTGGGTCAACCCTGGGCTCCCCAACTGCCTGCTGTACAGCTGGAAGATGTCCCCTCTCTGAATAGCATTTTTCTCTATAAAATCTTGGAATCTGGAGTAGTGACTTCAAGTCCTATTCCCCTCCCTCTTGGAAGCTCAGTAGCAGAGTCCCAGAGATGACTCCAAATATTTCCAAGAGTAAAATGCTTACCACGTTTATTCCTGACAAATGTGTACCTTCTCTTAAAACAAGTGCATTTTACACTGTCTTAAATTACAAAGGGTTCTGCCTAGATGTGTCTCTAGTGAATAAAAATATTAAGTCGATAGGTTTATGTGCTATCATTTGTGTTAAAAAATCGTAAATTATTTGATAGACAAAAAACTTGAAAAAGGGATCTGAAACAGAACAAGATCTAAGGGTTCGTAGTTGGTGATAGGTAGGGAAGGGTGGCAACTGGTCATCGCTGAAGTCGTTTGGGACCCAGCACCCACAAATATCTGTCGGTGTAGACAGTGGGAGAAATTCTTGTGGAGGGGATGAGGTGAACACAGTATCTTCTGATACCAGGTTGAAACTAGTAAATCACACACATTCCAAGACGCAGGACTATTAAGTCCCCATTTTACAGAGAACAGGCTACCTCGCAGAGGTTAGGTCCCATACGAGGTCACTGAGCTGAAAGGTGGCGAGCTGGCACCTGAATGCCTGGAGGATGGAGGAATGCTCCAGAAGGTCCCTGGCACTGGTGCAGTGCAAACTCCCAGTCTACCAGACAGTGAAGGCGTGGAGTTTGCGGGTGTGTCAGAAGGCAAAGGTGGGGCGCCCCACAGGCAAACTTGGACAAGCTGGGTCATCCAAGCTCGGGGGACAGTCGTCTCCCCGAGCTCCCCAGGCGTCATCTGGGGTCCTGGGACCCGCAGAGGGAACGGGATGGGCTGGGACCGGGGACCTCGCGGAGGAAAGGGGTGAGAAAGGAGGAGCCTTCAGAACAGAAATAGGAGAAGGGAGAGAGGGAGGAGGGTGAGCAGTGGGGAGTCCTTCCTGGGGCAGGAACCCGGGGGCCCCCCTTGGCGGAGCCAGCCCGCAAAGCGATTCTGCAGATGGAAGGAATTAGGTGGAAGGGGGAGGGTCTTACAGTGATAGCCAGGGCGAGAGCGAGAAGAACTTGTGTCAGAGAGGCTTGGAGAGGGGAAAACAGACACATCAGACTAGACGTAACTGGGAGAGAGACAGACACACAGACAGACAGAGAGAGAGAGAGAGAGAGAGAGAGAGAGAGAGAGAGAGAGAGAGAGAGAGAGAGAGAACAGCCTGCCAGAGGGAGAGGGGCATGGGAGTTACAACTTGAAGAGAGAGCGAGAGTAGGGGAGAGGAAGGAAACAGAAAAGGAAAACCGAGTAAAAATGAAATAACTGGGATGATTGCAAAGAAGGGGAGACAGAGCCGACCGCAGAGCGAGAAGAGACTGGAGGCTGCAGCAGTGCTGAAGCGCGGCGGGCTGCGGGAGCTGGGTAGGCCGGGCGGGGTGCGGGGTGGGGTGCGCGAGGGGAGGGCCGCCCAAGGGCGGGCCAGCACCCTACTACATATGTAGATGAGCTCCATTTCCCCGGTGACCCCGCCCCCTACTCCATATTCAACGAGGCAGCCAATAGAGGGCGAGCACAGCGCCGGAGGGGGCGGGGCCTCCGGGCGCCCGCCTCCGCGAGCGGCCGCTGAAGGGGTAAGCGCCCAGGCAGATAGCGGTTTGCCAGGCGGGCGGGGCGGGGCGGGGCGGGGCGGGGCGGGGCGGGGCGGGCGGCGCTGGGGGCGGGGCCAAAAGTTTCCTGCCCAACTTTCGCTGCCTCCTTCCTCCGCCTGCGCGCGCTGCGGCTGCAGTCGGGGGGAGGCGGCGGTGGCTGTGGCTGCGGGCGGCGCGCGGGCGCAGGGCACGGGACGATCGCCGTCGGGGCTCGGGCGGCGGACAGTGGGCGCAGACTCCCCGGTGCCCGCCCCTCCACTGGAGGGGGGGCGCGAGCGGGCGGCCGGGGAGGGGCCGGCATCACCGCCGCAAAATGAGCCTCCTGTCGGCCATCGACACGAGCGCCGCCTCGGTGTACCAGCCGGCCCAGCTGCTCAACTGGGTCTACCTGTCGCTGCAAGACACCCACCAAGCGAGTGCCTTCGATGCCTTCCGGCCCGAGCCTCCCGCCGGCGCCGCGCCCCCGGAGCTGGCCTTTGGCAAGGGCCGCCCGGAGCAGCTGGGCTCGCCCCTGCACTCCAGCTATCTCAACAGCTTCTTCCAGCTGCAGCGCGGAGAGGTGGGTGCCCCTGCGCGCCCCCGCCCTCCGCCCCACCGCGCGGGGCCTTTTCTCTCTGCCCGGCTCTTCCTGGCCAGGCCCTGCTGGACTCGGTATTGCCCGGCCCTGCTTGGCTCCGTTTCGCCCTGCTCTGCCAAACTCTACGCCCGGTGTCCCCGGGGCGCCGGAGCGCGTCACCTCCCGGCTGAGGCCGATCGGGAGCAGCTTGGGCGCGGGAGGGGCCCAGCCCCCGCCCCCCGTTCCTGCTGCCCGGGGAGCCCTTCTCGACAGTCAGGGGAGGGCGGGTGGGCGGCGGATTCCGGATTCTCCCCAGACCGCCTGGGCGCGGCTAGGGCGGGGAGCCCCTTCCAAGTGTCCTTCCCACGCCCAACCCCATCCCCCTCTTGGCCAAAGCTGTCTGGGACCGAGATTCTGCTCCAGGCTCTTCTGGAGCGGCCTAAGGTCTTTTCTCCTCCCACCTCGGTGGTTCCTGACTCGAGGGGCACCCTGGAGAGCTGTGACTCCTTCAGAGGGCTTTTCCTGCTGTTCTCACACAGGGACCCCCAGATACGTCCTCCAGCTACTCGCCCTCCCCCAGCCACATAGGAAGTGGTTTTGAGGGCTTGACCCCACAGACTGCGCTGTCCCCAACCCTCCCAGCCTGGACGGAAATGAAAGGGAAATCCTCTTGAGCTCTTGGGAGGGGGGTTAGATAGTGGGGAGAGGTTCCAGCTGCCCAGTGCCTGCTCCAGAAACCTGGGCAGCTGTGTTGCGGAGTCTGCCTGTTGGGTGAATTCTAGCACAAAGTCTACCTAAGAGCAGTGCATCTTCCCCAGTAGGTTAATACACAGATTACCAGGACTTCTTATCCCTTTTGAGGTATTTTATCCAGAATCTTCCTAGATACCATCCCTTTTTCCTCTTTCCCACTTACTCCCTCCTCATTTGGGAATTGCAGATAACCTTTCTGTGGCCTTCAGTAGCTCCCCTTCTGGCAGCTTTCTGCAAAAGTGCAGGGCCAGGGGTGGAGGAGAAGACACACCTGAGGGTCACTTTGCTTCTGGACATACTAGTTAGTTTTAGGAAAGGCAGAGACCTGAATGGGTTGACGGAGGAGGCCTTTGTGTGGAAGAGTATGCTGGGGCTGAGAGGAGAGGCCTTATAGGAGTCCAACTCTGTAGTTATTGATTAGGGGAGACATGTGCATACAGAATGCTGGCCTGAGGCCTAGACATGACCCAGCCCTGAGAAGTACAAAACCCGTGAGGATAGAAACGGTGTTGGACCTGTCAGGCGTAGTTGAAGAGGATGAATCTGGAAAGGCACCCCTTGGTGCCAGGCAAACGTATGTGTATGCCAAAGCTCTTTGCAACCATAACACACACCCTCCACTTGCGGAATTGTTTCTGGCTGGAACTCTTTAGTTCTCTTCAGAGAGTTTGCTGTCTCTTGAAGGAACTGACTTCGTGGATCAGTGACTTTGAAGAACAGTTTATGAGGTGTTTCTTCAGTGCCTGGGTCTTCTCAGTCGTGTGTTCTCTTTCCAAACACATGTTATGCTCCATGGGGGCCCCTGAGGATTCAGTTACCGGCCAGTGAGAGCCATAGACTAGAAGACAGACAAACTGATTCAGTGTGAATTGATGGGTGATTTCGTGGGGGTATTGTGCGAGCCCTGAAGGGAGAAGGGTGACCATGACCTACAAGTCAGGTCGAGGTTCCTGATCAGCTTCTACCAGCCTCTCTTCGCTCCCACCCTGTGGTGGTTATGTTCTCCAAATGTGGGTGTTTACTGAGAAGGCCTGGGAAATTTTGGCCATCGAGAGTCCCTTTGGGAGCAGGATGTTGTGCATCATCTTGGAAATTTCTAGCAACCAGAATCCCTCCTGTCACTTTGCTGCTGCTTGCCTTAGTTTCCCCAGGAAGTGGCACATTGCTTTGCTGGAGTCAGTGTTAAAGTTGGTAAAGGTGATCTAGAGCAACAGTGGACCTGCTTTGGGGGAAGTCCCTGTCTCTGTCTGGACCTCAGTTTACCCAGCTGTTAAATTTAGTCTCGCTGTCCCCCAGGGTGGTGAGTGTGGGATTTGAGAGTTGTACAAAACAGGAGGGGATGTGCCTAGAGACAGTCTGGGTTGGTGGGGGGAGAGGAGGCACTTTTCCCACACTCGTAGGTCAGTGCTTCCCTGGAGGGGCTGGAGGGCTGTGCCTGCTGACTTCTAGAAGACTCTTTTGGCTTCAGGCTCAATTGCTCTCACCCTCCCACCCCCCACCCGCTTAGTCTCCTAAACCCTCTTGGAGCCCCAGCTGTGCTCCTGAGGACAGGCTTTTCCTACATCTAGGGCTTAGCCGGTGACCTAATATGGCTCCAAAATAGCAACTGGCTGTGAAGGCAAGAAAATATACCCCCCACCTGAATGCCACCAAGGGGCTGGTTAGAGAGGAAGCAAGTCGTGTGTAGGCTGGAGGGGACTCTGTGAAGGGACCCAGGGGCCCAGGAGCATCGCCATTCTGTTCAAGGCCTGGCAGACCTAGTGGCAGTGCCTGCGGATGTGACTTGCATGCTGACCGTTGACCACGGCCTGTCTGCGCCAGTCCCTGTGCCAAGAGCCCACCCCCTCCTGCACCACCCCCAAGCTGCTACCACCACAATAGCAAAACACCATGAATGCAGCTGGGACTTGGGAGGGGGGGCTGAGGACACGGGGGGCACAGAAGCCCATTGTGCCCCTGGAATCTCAGCTCTGGAAGCTGAAGATAAGCCAAGGGTTCTGAGTGGAGCACTGGGTCTGGGAGTGAAGAGGGATATGGCGGAGTTCATATACAAGTGCAAGAGCAAGCATCAGGAGGTGACTTGGATGCTGGGGGTAGGGGAGCTCCTCAGCTTCTCAGTTTATGCTAAGGGTGCCAGGCCAATGCAGGCACAGACACCAATTTATAAAAAAGTCTTTCAGTCTAGAAACGGGGCCCTGTGAACTTGTTTGAAGCCCTGATCTGTGGCAACACTATATCTTTGGAGAGAGACTCCTGAGGCCCTTGGCTGAGCCCCTCATTGCTCAGGTATCCAAAGAAAGCAGTTCTTAGAGGGTGTGAGGAGTGGGTGGCATAAGGGTCCTCCCCTACCAGCTTTGTTTGGAATTAAAATTCATAGCTTTGTGGGGGTTGTGAATCTACCGCCAGAAAAGTGGAGCTCTCCCCTTGTTGAGCATTAGCTCTGAGGCTGCTCAGAGGCATGCTCTGAGCCCCTCCTGGGGAGTCCTTGTACCTGCTCAAGGGAAGGTATGACTGCTCTAATGCAGGTCAGATTCTTAGGGACAGTTGTGGGCTAAAGGTGCAATCCCATAGTGCAGCGATGCTTTGTGGAAGTTAGAAGAAGCTTTGGGGTTGAATATATTTAGAAAGTGGAGCATATAGTCCTCCCCCTGGCAACCTACCATGCCCCTTAGCATAGTAAAGGCTCTGAGAAATTCTGCAGTAAAAGTCCACCGACCTTTCTTCAGCCCCCAATTTCCCAAATCCAGAGTATGTTTCGAACACAATACCTGCCAGTGTTCTAAACATCTCCAAGCCCAGGGAAGGCTTCATCAAGGCAGACCTTTCCCTTGCTGGATCATCCCAACCCTTGGGATGCTCATCCTGGAGCAGTTAACCCAGGATCCTAGCGCTGGCTTCTGCAGCACTGAAGATGCCCTGTCTTCACCATCCATCAGAGACTTGCAAATAGCAGTAAGAGTGCGTGAGGCTGAACAGACAGACCCCACCCAGGGCCTTCTGCACACACAGGGTATTAGAACTCTTAGAGGAGCGACTGGATTGTGCTGCCTTAAAAAGTCCCCAGGTCTTGACCATCTTCTGAAGGTTTTAATGAGCCACCTATAGGTGGAGATGAGCCAAATGGCCCCTGGAGGTGTGAATATGCAGGACGAAGCCACATATCTGAACAAGGAGGGCTGTTTGCCTCGCTGGGGCTGAGAGAGGGCTTCTGGAAATGACGCCTATCCCCCGCAGCCTCTGTGGTCAGCCCCACACAGACCCAGCGGGCAGCAACCCTGGGTCCTGGGAGGAAGTCGAGCTCTGACTCAGGCAAGGAGGACTGTCGTTCGGGGCCTGTTGGCTGAGGTGGCCTGACCCTCCCTCCATCAAATTACATTGATTGGGCAAGCCTATACTCAGGAGGGAGACCACACCTCGGGGACCTTCTGAGTCAGGTGGGAGGGAGCAAAGCGGCAGCATTAGTAGCTAGTAATTATCAGCGGCAAAGAGCCAGGTGCTGTCAGCACCAAGAGGAGAGGCCTGCAGAGAAGATGGCCCTTAACTAGCAGTCCCTTATTTTGGGGTGGGGGGTGCCCTGTTCTTGGCATCTCTTTCCTCAGAGCTCCCATTTTACAGAAAACAGAGGCCTGGTCGGTCACCTGGCAAGTCATTGGCGGAGCCAGATCAAGATCTCTCCCATATTCTAGTGATAGTTGTCTCTCTGGTCCATCCTGCTAGCCTCCAGGTTGCCTCTCACCTGGATCATTGTCTGAACCCCAGTACAGGCAGTAACCTGGGGAGTTGTCAGGGCTCAGTGCCTCTGACATCTTGTTCCTGACATTTTGTTCCTGATCCCACACCTTCTGAGGAATGGTAGGGATTGATCCTGACCATGGGGTGTCCTGCTCTAACCACTCCCCAGAAATCCACCAAGGGTGGCCTGGTGGGAGAGGCAAAGGAGATGGACACTGAGCACTTCCTAGTACTTTTGTCTCATCCCCTGGCCAATGTGCAGCATTCCATTGTCCAGATGGGGAGACTAAAGCTCTTCAAGAGAATGACGCTACCTGGGAATCAGCGTCATGCTGGTCTACTTGAGGTTTCTGAAAGCACCAAGTAGTCCCACTGCTCCAAACTTTTGCCCTTGCTCTGGCTTCTACCTAAAATGCTCTTCCCTGCCTTGTACAAGCGACAGCTTACTTCTTCTTCTTCTTTTTTTTTTAAAGATTGATTGATTGATTGATTTATACAAGTACTGGATACAGTCAGAA